AGAAGCGATCTGGCGACAGGTAAGTCGCCAGGATCGCTTCTGTTGTAAAGCCGACAGTCGGCTCTACAAGTTTAAACAGAGTCCCGGCGGCAAAAGTCGCCGGGAGTCTGTTTAAACAGCCCCGATGCTGGCGACGTACACTGTACGTCGTCAGTCACGAAGGGGTTAAACATATTTTGCTTTGCTTTTGTTTCTGCTTTCAAGTCGATGCGAATTCATGTCAAATGTGTCCGAAACTAATAAAATTATATCAAACTGGCTTTCAATGGAAGTCCTTTATCAGCTACGGAGTATAAAGCCCTTGTACACCAGCACTCGTTCACAGAAATGAATCTGAATTAACAAAAACATCTTTATAAATTTCATCCTATAAGATCTTAAGAATAAAAGATGAAAATAAAAAAAAAGGGTTATAGTTTGCCTTCCTGCATTTTCCAATAAATCCCCCATGCTTTCCTTTGTTCCCAGGATAGCTGTTACAGAGGGAGATAGCACACTGAGCATGGGCACAGTACTGTATAAACGAGCCAAGAGCGCCTGCTAGCAGTGCACTTTGAATGTCCGCAGCCCATCCTGGCTAAACGGCAGAACAGGCTGGATTGTTGGGGTGTGAGGACGCTCACCTAGAGGTTTTCTCAGACAGGCTGTGCAGGACCTACAGGTATGCACTGGGAAAGGGGCAACTTTTTAACATCTAGAAAGTGCTTTGCAATGTGCAGGGGATGACGGAAAGCATGGAGGATTTTTTGGGAAAATGTGCAGAGTGGTGGACTAACCCTTTAATACACACACAAGAGTTATGCCTCTAATCAAATGTTAAACAAATGGACACTTGAAAGCACTGAGAGAAGGAAATGTTCAGGACGGAGGAGAAAGGCTGGCCTATAAAAAGGTTATCCAACACATGCATACTTTCGGAATGAGTCTGTCTCCGTATTGGTACAAACCCAATTAAAGGATTTCATACATCAAACACATCTCTGAGGAAATCCTTATTCTAAGGTCATGTCTTATGAGGTAGCTAAACCATTTTTAGCCACAAGTCACCATAGCAATCCAGTTTGCTATTCTGTAACCAGAGAGAAACACAAATTCTCTTTCCCTTCACGTCTCTAGCCAAGAGAAACATCCCGGTGCCAATACCTACTGCATCAACTGGCCTAATATCACAAGCAGTTTGTCTCAAACATTGCCTGCACAAGTGTGTCATATTCGGGAAGAAAATCAAAGGCAACCGAAACCCTTTCAATGGGAACTGCTAGCAGTGGCTGTGCTACTAAAACACAAATTTTCTCCGCACACAAATCTCTAGAGGAAAAAAAAACGTCATCCCATTCACAACCATCACTTAGGCCTGGTTCACACCTGGGCGTTTTACAGCGCGTTCCTACGCTCTGTAAAACGCTCAACATGTGAAAACTAATGATTGCCTATAGGCATGGTTCCCACCTGGGCGTTTTACAGCGAGTAGGAACGTGCTGCAAAACGCCCTACGCCCAAAGTGGTACAGGAGCTTCTTTGGGGCATATTTGCTGCGCGTATCCATTGGGATACAGCCAGGTAGCCCTCGGAAACGCGCGTTTTTCGCGCATTTTTTTACCGCGAATCGCAGTAAAAACGCGCAACGCCCATATTCGATATGCCTAGGTGTGAACCCAGCCTTAAAAGGAGAACTATGACATGAGTGATTTCCACTCACGTCATAGTTCTAAGCCGACCTGTGACAATGAGACTGTCACAGGTCGGCTCAGTAGATCGGGAGGTGAGGGAAAACATACCAGGCTCCCTCACCTCTCGATCCTGTCACGGCTCTCTGCCGTGACAGGGGGAGGGGCTGGATTCCCCTCTCCTATCTGCCAGCGCTGACTGGCGGAACGGACGGGGGAGGGTACAGCTGGCTCTGCCTCTAGATAGGCAGAGCCAGCTGTCACTCACGCAGCTGGGCGGATCCCGTCATCTAAGTCGGGATCCGCTCCAGGTGCGGCGTCTCAGTATACCGCGAGCTGTAGCTCGCGGTATACTGAGCTTAGGGTGACGGGAGGACGCTAGTTTGTGTCCTCCCGTTACCCCAAGGAGAACTATGGGGAAAAACACTGACCCCATAGTTCTCCTTTAAAGGTCCATTCACACTAGATTTATTGCAGAATGGCCTCCCAAGGCACCTTGACAATAGACATGTGTTGCAGCACAGCAAAACATGCATTGTGGTGTGCGGATGCAAATGGAACAGATTTCAAAACTACACCTCTCATGTTGCATTAAAGTGCCCTTAGTCACTGCATTGCTATTTAGTCAAAAAACACAACCCTTGGACACCCCTTAGGAGGTGCATGCTCCAGGGAGGAAGCTGGTCACTGCATTGTGCAGACTTTAGCTATGCAGTCTGCTGAGCAGCTGCTTGATTATATTCTATCAGACAACTGACCAATACTGCACAGCCAAAGTCTGCTACATCCTGCGGCCAGCAGTGAGGATCAGGTTTGTTCAACCCTTTGGTTCTCAACTGGTGGGTCGTAAGCCAAAAGTGGGTCACCGCATGCCTTACACTTTTCTAGGTGAGCGGCTCCTCAGCCCCCCCCCTAGCGCAGCACTGTCCGTTCTTACACCAAGCATTCATTCAAAATATGCTGCCCGGCGCAGAGTGTTGACTTGACGTGGGGTGGGTTAGGGGTAATGCCACGAAGGAGCTCCCTCTATGCGTGCATTGCTTGAAGCTCCTTCGCATGTTCTGTAGATGTGCCTGGACTGACATCACATTCTGGCTTCCGGCACTTCTACAGTTGCACAAGTGAGCTGCACAAGCAATGTACATATAGCCCACGCTGCTATGCATTCCATTGCAGTGCGAGAACTACTGGTTTAACCCATTTCTGCCATTGGCACAAGGTTTATGATCACTTCCATGGGCTCCAAACACTGTATCCCAGGCTCCACTGCCTCTTGCAGTTCCGGTACTACTATGGTGGGAGTCAGTGGTAAGAGGAAAGAGAGACCGGCGAACATCCATTTGCTGATCTCCTATCCGGTGAATAAATCCAGAAGTGACAACTCATTCTCCGGTGAGGTTCAGAACCTGTCACCTGTGTAATGTGATATCACATGTGCTAGCAAAGTAGTAAAAAAAAAAAAAAAAAAGGAAAATAAATTTAA